CCGTTTCCGCAGCTGCCATTGGCCAGGAGCCTTGACCAATGGGAGCTGTGGGGTGGCGCAAAGGCAGCACACACCGCGCAGAGCCGCCTGGCCACGCATGCGCCCAGAGGCTGCAGGGACCTGGCGGCCACTTCCTCGGAGCCACGGTAAGCGCCACCAGGACCCTGCCCCCACTCCTGCACCCCAACCCCCTCAACCCCAGCCCTGTCCCTGAGCCCACACCCCCAGCCCAGAGCCCGTACCCCCTCCCACACCCCAAACCCCTTCCCCAACCCAGTGAAAGTGAGTGAGGGCGAGGAAGAGCGAGTGACGGAGGGAGGGGGATGGAGCGAGCGGGGGGTGGGGCCTTGGAGCAGGGGTATTCGGTTTCGTGTGATTAGAAAGTTGGCAACCCTATGCTGCAGGTGGCTTTAAATCTGATTCAGATCTTTAGAACCTGTTTGACCCACACTAGGTTGAGTTTATGTTTATGTGGCCCTCCTGTGTAATAAGATTGGGCACCACTGATCTGCCCTCGTGCACATCGCAGGCCACAGAACCTCACCTACCCACTCCTGTAACATATCCGTAATCTGTGACTGAGTGGTCATGAGTCAGCCCCCAGCCCCGGTCCCTGGGTCCCGACTCCAGCTCCAGTCCCCAGGTCCCGACTCCAGCTCGGCCCCCAGCCCCAGTCCCCGGGTCCCGACTCCGGCTTGGCCCCCAGCCCCGGTCCCCGGGTCCCGACTCCGGCTCGGCCCCTGGTGCTGTTCTTTGACTCCAGCTCAGCCTCAGGCTCTGCTGTCTGAGTCTGAATCCAGTCCTGGCCGCTCCTTTACTCTCCTCACACACAAGCATGCACTCGTCTCTCTTATCTTAAAAAAACACCCAGGACCCCACTTGCTCTCAAACCACTGCCCCATGTCCCTACCACCTCTAAGCCTGCTGAGCCAGCTGTCTGCAGTCGCTGTCTGACATTCCTCTCCTCACTCTCATCCTAGACCCTCTCCAATCCAGCTTCCCCCCTTGAACCCCTGCTGACCTCTTCCGAGCCAAAGCTCAGGCCTCGTGCTCCTTCAGCGCGGCCTTCGCAGGATCCTCCTCATGCCCCTCCAGCTTTCTGCACGGGTTCCACAGGCTGTGTCCTTGGTCCTTCTCTTCTCCCGCTGCACCTTATCCCTACGTAATCCCATCCACAAACAGAAATCCAGCCACCATCTCTGTGCTGACAACGCACAGATCTACCTCTCTGCTCCAGACCTGGCTCCTGTCCAAACCCAAATCTTGCCCTGTTTCTCTAACATCTCCTTGTGGATGTCTAGACACCACCACCAAGCTCAACATGGCTAAAGCAGAACTCTTTAATCTTCCCCCCAGCACCCTTCCTGCTACCTCCTTTCTCACCACCCACCTGCCTGTCATTCAGGCCCATAACCTGGACTCCAGCTTTGACTCAACCCTCCCTCTAGGTGCTCACCCCAAGGATGTGTCTCAACCCAGCCAGATCTGTCTGCAGAACATCTCTGAGATCCGGCCTTTCCTATCCACCCCCAGAGCGAGAGCTCTCGCCCAGCTCCTAGCAACCTGCGTCTTGATCACCACACCGTCCTTCTCTCTGGCCTTGGCACACGCCATTGAGCCTCACTCAGATCCATTCCCAATGCTGCTGCAATGTAACAATCGTTCCCCTAGCCCATTGCTTTGGCCACGTCTCCCTGTGTCTGCATCCCCGCCCGTGGCTCCCCCCTTCTCGAGTGCACCAAACATTAGCTGCTGTCTTCGCTCTCAAGGCCCTTCCTGGCCCATCACCCCCAGCAAGTGGGTCTCATTCAGTATCCAAAGATCACCTCTCACCTCTGCTCAGCCCATGATCCCAGCCTCTGGTGCCCACCGTTTACATTTTCAAACAAGCCCCTTTGTGTTTTCTCCCTGCTGCCCCTCTGCCTTGGAGGAGCTCCCTGTAATCACCCACAAAGCCACTGGCATGCTCAGAGCACAGCCCATCACGCTGACTAGTGCTGTCTGTATCCATCTGTCGTCTCTTTTCTGACACCTATCATAAAATGATAGAATCTCAGGGTTGGAAGGGACCTCAGGAGGTATCTAGTCCAACCCCCTTCTCAAAGCAGCACCAATTCCCAATTTTTGCCCCAGATCCCTAAATGGCCCCCTCAAGGATTGAACTCACAACCCTGGGTTTAGCAGGCCAATGCTCAAACCACTGAGCTATCCCTCCCCCCACCTAGACTGTGATCTCTTTGGGGCAGAGACTTTCTTTCGTTCTCTGTTCTATGTTTGTGCAGAACCTAGTACAATGGGGTCCTGGTCCGTGACAAGGGCTCCTGGGTGCTACCACTACACATATTCTGCCCCTACATGCTTGTGCCATTCTTTTGTGTTCACCCTTTGTAATTCATCCTGGCGTCCACTTTTTGTAGGATTCCTTTTTGATTTTCAGGTCATTAAAGAGCTCCGGATGGAGCTGTGTTGGCCTCTCACTATTCTTCCTATCTTTCTTTCGCATCCGAATAGTTTGCAGAGGTGTGTTTAATCCTGTCTCCTTGAGAAACTGACACCTCCCCTGAACTCCTTTCCCACTTAGAGTCTCCTCCCATGGGACCATACCATCAGCTCTCTGAGTCTGTTACAGTGTGTGTTTCTGAAGTCCAGGCCCTTTGACCCATTCTCGTCACCCTTCTCTGAACCCCCAAGGCCGCACACATATCCAAATGAGGCCACCCTTTTGGTTTATATAGTGGAGTTACAGCATTCTCTGTTTCAGAGTAGCAGCCGTGTTAGTCTGTATTCGCAAAAAGAAAAGGAGGACTTGTGGCACCTTAGAGACTAACCAATTTATTTGAGCATGAGCTTTCGTGAGCTACAGCTCACTTCATCAGATGCATTCTCTGTGTTATTCCCCGTCCCAGTCCTTATGCACAAAATGAGTTACCCTAGCAAGGGACATAAAAGGCAATACGAAGATGTTCTGTAAATACATTAGGAGCAAGAGAAAGGTGAAGGAAAGTGAAGGTCCTCTACTTAGCAGGGCAGGAGAGCTAATAATGGAATCATAGAATAATAGAATATCAGGGTTGGAAGGGACCTCAGGAGGTCATCTAGTCCAACCCCCTGCTCAAAGCAGGACTGATCCCCAACTAAATCATCCCAGACAGGGCTTTGTCAAACCTGACCTTAAAAACCTCAAAGGAAGGAGATTCCACCACCTCCCTAGGTAACACATTCCAGTGTTTCACCACCCTCCTAGTGAAAAGTTTTTCCTGATATCCAACCTAAACCTCCCCCACTGCAACTTGAGACCATTACTCCTTGTTGTGTCATCTGCTACCACTGAGAACAGTCTAGATCCATCCTCTTTGGAACCTCCTTTCAGGTAGTTGAAAGCAGCTATCAAATCCCCCCTCATTCTTCTCTTCTGCAGACTAAACAATCCTAGTTCCCTCAGCCTCTCCTCATAAGTCATGTGCTCCAGTTCCCTAATAATTTTTGTTGCCCTCCGCTGGATGTTTTCCAATTTTTCCACATCCTTCTTGTAGTGTGGGGCCCAAAACTGGACACAGTACTCCAGATGAGGCCACACCAATGTTGAATAGAGGGGAATGATCACGTCCCTCGATCTGCTGGCATCTAATAATAGATGACATCAAGAAAGATGAGGTGTTTAATGTCTATTTTGCTTTAGTCTTCTCTCTAAAGGTTAAGAATGGCCAGATACTCAACACAATTGATATTGACAGCCAGGGGGGAGGAAGGCAAGCCAAAATAGGGACAGAACAGTTCAAAGAATATGTAGATAAGTTGGACATATTCAAGTCAGCAAGGCCAGATGGAATTCATCCTAAAGCACTTAAGAAACTAGCTGAATAAATCTTGAAACCATTAGTAATTATCTTTGAGAACTCATGGAGGATGGGTGAGGTCCCATACTGGAGAATACAGAAGTACAAACATAGTACTTACTATCTTTAAAAAGGGGAACAAAGAGGACCCGGGAATTATAGACCAATTATAGACCAGTCAGCTTAACTTCAATACCTGGAGAGATACTGGAACAAATTATTAAACAATCAGTTTGTCAGCACCTGGAGGCTAATAGAGTTACAAGGAATAGCCAGCATGGATTTGTCAACAACAAATCAGGCCAAACCAACCTAACTGTCTTCTTTGAGAGGGTGACTGGCTTACCGGATGGGGGGAAGCAGTAGGTGTGAGATATCTTGAATTTAGTAAGGCTTTTGGCACAGTCCCTCATAAGCAAACTAGGGACGCGTGGTCTAGATGAAATCACTATAAGGTGGGTGCATAACTGGTTGAAAAACCATACTCAGAGTAGTTATCAACGGTTCGCTGTCAAACTGGGAGGGGGCATGTAGTGGGGTCTCGCAGGGGATCAGTTCTGGGTCCAGGACTACTCAATATTTTCATTAATGGCTTGATTCATGAAAATATGAAATGCTTGATTCATTAATGGGAGCGGAGAGCGTGCTTATAAAATTTGCAGATAACAGCAAGCTGGCAGGGGTTGTAAGCACTTTGGAGGGCAGGATTAAAATTCAAAACAACACTGACAAATTAGAGAATTGATCTGAACTCAACAAGATGCAATTCAGTAAAGACAAGTGCAAAGAACTTCACTTAGGAAGGAAAAATCAAATGCACAACAACAAAATGAGCAATAAATGGCTAGGTGGCAGTACTGCTTCAAAGGCTCTGGGGGATCAGATATATTGGATCACAGACTGAATATGAGTCAACCATATGATGCAGTTGCAAAAGGCTAATAGCGTTCTGGGGTGAATTAACAGGAGTGTTGTATGTAGACATGAGAGATCATTGTTCCACTCTACTCGGCACTTGGGAGGCCTCCTGTCACGGAGTCCCCAGGCGATGCTCTGGAACTGCTCCCCATGAAGCCAGGCAGGACTTTGGGGAAGTCTCCTCTCTGGGAGCAGCCTGTCTGCAGGACACACAGCTCACGCGGCTTCCACCTTCCTGGGTCTGACCTCGGAGCATTCAGCAGCCTCTGCCCCTCCGTGCGCTTCCCACAGCGAGTCCGCTCAGGCGGGGCTCCTGGGGAAGCCAGAGGGTCCTGCACCCCAACTTCGCAGTCAGACGTGACTCTCAGCCAGCCAGTAAAACAGAAGGTTTATTAGATGACAGGAACATGGTCGCTTATAGGTGCAGAGAACAGGAGCCCTCAGCTGGGTCCATTTTGGGGGCCATGAGCCACACAACCACGTCTGCCCTTGACTCCATGTCCCAGCCAGCCCCAAACTGAAACTCCCTCCAGCCCCTCCTCCCCTGGGCTTTGTCCCTTTCCCGGGCCAGGAGGTCACCTGATTCCTTTGTTCTCCAACCCTTTAGCTCTCACCTTGCAGGGGGGAAGGGCCCAGGACATCAGTTGTCAGGAAACAGGGTGTCGGCCATTCTCTGTGTCCAGACCTTTGCACACACCTGCTCTCTAGGGCTCTGCAATGATCATATACCCTTACCCCACCACCTAGATGCTTAAGAACTGCCTAGGGGAAACTGAGGCACCCCCACAATATTCAGAGGAAACATTAAGAACAGTCCCATTTCGTCACACCTCTGCTGGATACCATGTCCAAGTCTGGGTGCCTCATTTTAGGATAGATGTGGACAAACTGGAGAGAGTCAGGAGGAGAAACAAAAATGATCAGAGTTTAGCAAACCTGACCTACGAGAAAAGGCTAAAAACCTGGGCATGTTTAGTCTTGAGACAAAAAGACTGAAGGGATCTGAGAACAGTGGCTGGGGATCCATTGTTCTCCGTGTCCACTGAAGGTAGGACAAGCAGTAATGGGCTTCATCTGCACCAAGGGATTCAGGTGAGATATTAGGAAAAACTCTCTAGCTCTCAGGGTAGTTAAGTTCTTGAACCAGCTTCCATGGAAGGTTGTAGAATCCCTGTCACTGGAGGGTTTTAGGAACAGGTTGGACAAACACCTGTCAGGGATGGTCTGGGTTTACTTGGTCCTGCCTCAGCACAAGGGTCTTGATTTGATGACTTCTCGAGGTCCCTTCCAGCCCTACATTGATATGATTCTGTGAAAATTCTCCTATGCAGAGAGATTGAAACAACTGAAGCTGTTATCCTAGAAAGGAGGGGGCAAGAGGGGACATGATAAAAATATATAAAATACTGAATGGTCTAGAGAAGATAGAGCAAGAGCTTCTGTTCTCCCTGTCTCATAATATAAGAACAAGGAGGCATTTGTGGTGGGTAATCAGCTGAACACAAGCTCCCATGGTGATGCTGTAGCCAGAAGAGCTAATTCCATCCTGGAATGCATAAACAGAGGTATCTCAAATAGGAGCAAAGAGGTGATTTTACCTCTGCATTTTGCACTGGTGCAACCACTGCTGGAATCCTGGGTCGAGTTCTGGTGTTCACAGTTCAGGAAGGATGCTGATAAATTGGAGGGGGTCAGCAAAGAGCCATGAGACTGATTACAGGATTACAAAACCTGCCTTATAGTGATAGACTTAGGGAGCTCAATCTATTTAGCTTAACAAAGAGAAGGTTAAGGGGGGACTTGGTCACAGTCTGTAAGTAGCCACAATATTTAATAATGGGCTCTTCAGTCTAGCTGGGAAAGGGATAACATGATCTAATAGATGGAAGCTGAAGCTAGACAAACTCAGACCAGAAATAAGGTGTAACGTTTTAACAGGGAGGGTAATTAACCATTGGAACAATTTACAAGGGTCGTGGTGGATTCTCTATCACTGACAATTTTTGAATCCAGACTGGATGTTTTTCTAAAAACTGTGCTCTAGGGATTATTGTGGGGCTGGTCTCTGGACTGGGTTATACAGGAGGTCAGACTCAATGATCATAATGGTCCCTTCTGGACTTGGAATCTACGATGAAACTAAAAGGGGGGAAATTCAAAACTGATAAAGGAAACACTTTTCTCCATGCAAGATGTAATTAGCCTGTGGAACTCACTGCCACTGTTGAGGCCAAGAACCTAGCAGGATTCAAAAAACAGCTGGGCATTTCTATGGATACAAGAATATCCAGTTACCCTAATTAATGCTGAAAAAATACTGTCAGGGATACGAACCTTCCTGTATTGGGCTTATGCCAATCGTTGACTACCAGAGACCAGGATAAGACCTAGTGTGGGGGCATGTTATTCCTCATCTGCAACTGCTGGGTTCTCTTACCTTTCCCTGAAGAATCTGCTGGTCAGAGCCAGGACACGAAGCTAGATGGGTCTCAGGTCTGATCCACTCTAGCAATTCTGATGTTCCTATTAAGCATATTTCACAGACCTCAAACTAAATTACTCCCAGGTGTAACTCCATTAAAGTTAGTGCTGTTATACCTGGGGTGAGCATGTTACTGTCATGTGACAATGGTGAAGCATCACAGAGAGAGTAACTTTCTTCTAACACTGAATAAGGTGGATAGAAAGTTAGCTAGATCATCGGGCTCAACAGGTAGTGATCAATGGCTCCATGTCTAGTTGGCAGCCGGTGTCAAGTGGAGTGCCCCAAGGGTTGGTCCTGGGGCCGGTTTTGTTAAATATCTTCATTAATGATCTGGAGGATGGTGTGGATTGCACCTTCAGCAAGTTTGCAGATGACACTAAGCTGGGAGGAGAGGTAGATACGCTGGAGGGTAGGGATAGGATATAGAGGGCCCTAGACAAATTAGAGGATTGGGCCAAAAGAAATCTGATGAGGTTCAACAAGGACAACTGCAGAGTCCTGCACTTCGGACGGAAGAATCCCATGCACCGCTACAGACTAGGGACCGAGTGGCTCGGCAGCAGTTCTGCAGAAAAGGACCTAGGGGTTACAGTGGACAAGAAGCTGGATACGAGTCAACAGTGTGCCCTTGTTGCCAAGAAGGCTAACAGCATTTGGGGCTGTATAAGTAGGGGCATTGCCAGCAGATCGAGGGACGTGATCATTCCCCTCTATTCGACATTGGTGAGGCCTCATCTGGAGTACTGTGTCCAGTTTTGGGCCCCACACTACAAGAAGGATGTGGAAAAATTGGAAAGAGTCCAGCGGAGGGCAACAAAAATGATTAGGGGACTGGAACACATGACTTATGAAGAGAGGCTGAGGGAACTGGGATTGTTTAGTCTGTGAAAGAGAAGAATGAGGGGGCATTTGATAGCTGCTTTCAACTACCTGAAAGGGGGTTCCAAAGAGGATGGATCTAGACTGTTCTCAGTGTTAGCAGATGACAGAACAAGGAGCAATGGTCTCAAGTTGCAGTGGGGGAGGTTTAGGTTGGATATTAGGAAAATCTTTTTCACTAGGAGGGTGGTGAAGCTCTGGAATGGGTTACCTAGGGAGGTGGTGGAACCTATTTCATTAGAGGTTTTTAAAGGAGCCCGGAGAGCTCAGTTGGCAGAGCATCAGACTTTTAATCTGAGGGTCCAGGGTTCAAGTCCCTGTTCAGGCAAATCCTCTGAATTTGAGGGGAGGGAGGGATAGCTCAGTGGTTTGAGCATTAGCCTGCTAAAGCCAGGGTTGTGAGTTCAATCCTTGAGGGGGCCATTTAGGGATCTGGGGCAAAAATTGGGGATTAGTCCTGCTTTGAGCAGGGGGTTGGACTAGATGATCTCCTGAGGTCCCTTCCAACCCTGATATTCTATGATTCTATGAACTTCGTGGGAATAAGGGAAGCAGTATTACACCTTTGCTGCTCTGTTCTCTCTTTAGCTTCTGCCTCCAACTCTCACCAGCCTGTCCCTGGCTGCCTGCTCCAGATCGAAAGAATCAGTCCGCACCTCCTTCCGCCTTGCCCGTGGGCTTGTGAGTCTAGTGAGAAGTAGAGTCTAGCTAAACAGTCAGGTTTGGGTTGGGTCCATTTCAAGTAGCCCCTGAAATAACCAGGATCCTGGCACAGTCCCCCTGTAGTCCAGTGTGTAGGCAAGGATTCCAAGAAGACCATTCCAGGGTTAATCACCTGGAATGTTTTCTGACCACCGGGCACCTCACTGGAGTGGAATTAATTCCTAAGCAATGCACAGCACAGTGATAGAGGCAATTAAGGGGTCTAACGATGTCAAGGCTCGGTGAACAAATCAATGGAGTCTTTTCTTTTACCCGGAATTAGTGAGCAAGTGAAGCAGGTGAAATCTGAGTCAGTGGTGAAGTCCACGCTGGCTCCTGTTCAAGGCAGCAATTACCCTGTAAGTTATTCCACGCTGTGCCTCTCTCCGCGACCTCGCCTGCAAATGTAACAGCGGGGGCAGGCGTCACCACTCTGGCATGGCCCAGCCCCATGGCCACATTCCCAGCAGGTCTGCACAGACTTCCAATTTCTGCTCCATTTACTTCTCTTAGTGGGAGGGGGCTGAGGTGGTTGTAGATCTGGAGTGAGGACTCCTGGGTTCTGTGCCCAGCTGTGACTCATTGTGTGACCCTGGGCAAGTCCCTTTACCACTCTGTGACTCAGTTTCTCTATCTATAGAATGCAGATAAAAGTGACCTATTCGCGGGCTCATCAGGAGATTTAATCTAGTTACAGACTGTCACGGAGTGTGGGGGAGTTCAGGCCCTGCACCCCTCTTCCTGGGATTCACTGAGACTCTCCAGCCAGTAAAACAGAAGGTTTATTGGACAACAGGAACACAGTCCAAAACAGAGCTTGTGGGTACAACCAGGACCCCTCAGTCCAGTCCTTCTGGGGGAGCAGGGAGCTTAGACCCCAGCCCTGGGGTTCCCTGCGTTCCTCCACCCAGCCCCAAACTGAAAACTTAACCCCCCCAGCAGGCTCTCTTCTGCAGCCTGTCTTCACATTCCTGGGCAGAGGTGTTACCTCCCCCTCCCGCTCCTGGCTCAGGTTACAGGCTCTCAGGTCTCCCACCCCCAGGGCACATTCCCAGGTCAACACTCCCCCATCCCTGCTGCATCACATCGTCACATCTCTCCCCCCTTCGAGACTGAACTGAGCGGGGTCACTGTGACCAGTGACCTGGGGAAGTTCGGGGCCCCCTCTCCGGGACAGCGCATCCACTATCAGGTTGGCACTTCCCTTCACGTGGACCACGTCCATGTCATAATCCTGCAGGAGCAGGCTCCACCTCAGGAGTTTGGCGTTGGCTCCTTTCATCTGGTGCAGCCAGGTCAGGGGAGAGTGGTCGGTGTACACGGTGAAGTGTCGCCCAAAGAGATAGGGCTCTAGTTTCTTGAGGGCCCACACCATGGCCAGGCACTCCTTCTCGATGGCCGCGTAGTGTTGCTCCCGGGGTAGCAACTTCTTGCTCAGGTACACGATGGGGTGTCTCTCCCCCTTTTCATCCTCCTGCATTAACACTGCCCCCAGTCCCGTGTCTGAGGCGTCGGTGAACACCACAAAGGGCTTGTCAAAGTCTGGGTTTGCCTCTGGGCCACTGACCAGAGCCTCCTTCCAGCTTGTCTAGGAGCTCGTCAGGCCTGGGCATGGGGTAGGCATCAGATACAGTGATGGCATTGAGCTTCCGATAGTCCACACAGAACTGGACTGACCCGTCCTTTTTGGGGACCAGCACCACCGGTGAGGCCCAAGGGCTGGCAGATGGCTGGATCATCCCCAAAGCCAGCATGTCCCGGACCTCTCTTTCCAGGTCCTGAGCAGTTTGCTCTGTGACTCGGAAGGGGGAGCATCTTATCGGCGGGTGCGACCCTGTCTGCACCCAGTGGACAGTCAGGTTAGTGCGTCCAGGCTGGTTGGAAAACAGCTGTCGGTATGGATGCAGCACCCCCCTGACCTCAGCTTGCTGGGCAGGGGTTAGCTGGTTCGAGAGGGGAATTGTTTCCAGGGGGGAACCAGCTCTGGTCCCAGGGAATAGATCTACTAAAGGGTCATCTCCCTGCTCCTCCCACTGTCCACACACGGCCAACACCACATTCCCCCTGGCATAATATGGCTTCATCATATTCACATGGTACACCCGGCGGTGGTGCGCCCGGTTCGACAGCTCCACCACATAGTTTACCTCATGGAGCTGCTTGACAACCTTGAAAGAGCCCTCCCAGGCAGCCTGTAGTTTGTTCTTTCTCACGGGGATGAGAACCATCACCTGATCCCCGGTGGCGTAGGCACGGGCCTGTGCCATGCGGTCATACCAGACCTTCTGCTTCCTCTGGGCTCTGGCCAGATTCTCCCTGGCCAGGCCCATGAGTTCAGCCAGTCTCTCTCGGAAGATCAGGACATACTCCACCCCTGACTCTCCATCGAGAGTAGCCTTCCCCTCCCATTCGTCTCTCATCAGGTCCAGGGGGCCCCTCATCCTCCTTCCATATAACTGTTCGAAAGGCGAAAATCCGGTAGACTCCTGGGGCATCTCCCTGTACGCGAACAGCAGGTGAGGTAAGTACTTGTCCCAATCCTGCGGGTGCTGGTTCATAAAGGTTTTCAGCATCATCTTTAGCGTCCCGTTAAACCTCTCCACCAGCCCATTGGACTGGGGGTGATAAGCTGAGGCCCAGTCGTGCCGGACCCCACATTTCTCCCACAAGCACCGGAGCAGGGCTGACATGAAGTTGGAGCCTTGGTCTGTCAAGACTTCCTTGGGGAACCCCACTCAGCTGAAAATGATCAGGAGCGCATCGGCCACGGTGTCTGCTTCAATGGAAGCTAAGGGCACTGCCTCGGGGTAGAGGGTGGCAAAATCTACCACCACCAGAATGTATTTCTTCCCCGACCGGGTCGTCTTGCTGAGAGGCCCCATGATCATAGAATCAAAGAATATCAGGGTTGGAAGGGACCTCAGGAGGTCATCTAGTCCAACCCCCTGCTCAAAAGCAGGACCCATCCCCAATTAAATCATCCCAGCCAGGGCTTTGTCAAGCCTGACCTTAAAAACTTCTAAGGAAGGAGATTGCACCACCTCCCTAGGCAACGCATTCCAGTGTTTCACCACCCTCCCAGTGAAAAAGTTTTTCCTAATATCCAACCTAAACCTCCCCCACTGCAACTTGAGACCATTACTCCTTGTCCTGTCCTCTTCCACCACTGAGAATAGTCTAGAACCATCCTCTCTGGAACTACCTCTCAGGTAGTTGAAAGCAGCTATCAAATCCCCCCTCATTCTTCTCTTCCGCAGAATAAACAATCCCAGTTCCCTCAGCCTCTCCTCATAACTCATGTGTTCCAGACCCCTAATCATTTTTGTTGCCCTCTGCTGGACTCTCTCCAATTTATCCACATCCTTCTTGTAGTGTGGGGCCCAAAACTGGACACAGTACTCCAGATGAGGCCTCACCAATGTCGAATAGAGGGGGACGATCACGTCCCTCGATCTGCTCGCTATGCCCCTACTTATACATCCATGATCATAGAATCATAGAATCATAGAATATAAGGGTTGGAAGGGACCCCAGAAGGTCATCTAATCCAACCCCCTGCTCGAAGCAGGACCAATTCCCAGTTAAATCATCCCAGCCAGGGCTTTGTCAAGCCTGACCTTAAAAACCTCTAAGGAAGGAGATTCTACCACCTCCCTAGGTAACGCATTCCAGTGTTTCACCACCCTCTTAGTGAAAAAGTTTTTCCTAATATCCAATCTAAACCTCCCCCACTGCAGCTTGAGACCATTACTCCTCGTTCTGTCATCTGATACCATTGAGAACAGTCTAGAGCCATCCTCTTTGGAACCCCCTTTCAGGTAGTTGAAAGCAGCTATCAAATCCCCCCTCATTCTTCTCTTCTGCAGGCTAAACAATCCCAGCTCCCTCAGCCTCTCCTCATAACTCATGTGTTCCAGACCCCTAATCATTTTTGTTGCCCTTCGCTGGACTCTCTCCAATTTATCCACATCCTTCTTGAAGTGTGGGGCCCAAAACTGGACACAGTACTCCAGATGAGGCCTCACCAATGTCGAATAGAGGGGAACGATCACGTCCCTCGATCTGCTCGCTATGCCCCTACTTATACATCCCAAAATGCCATTGGCCTTCTTGGCAACAAGGGCACACTGCTGACTCATATCCAGCTTCTCGTCCACTGTCACCCATGATGTCCATGGCCACCTTCTGGAAAGGCTCCTCTATGATGGGCAAAGGTCTCAAAGCCGCTTTCCCCTTATCCCGGGCCTTCTCCACCCTCTGACAGGGGTCACAGGATCGGCAATACTGCCGGACCATGGTAAAGACCCCGGGCCAGTAAAAGTTCTGTAGCAACCTCTGCCGGGTGCGCCGGATTCCCTGGTGCCCTGAGAGGGGGATGTCATGGGCCAGGTACAGTAGCTTGCAGCGATACTTCTGGGGGACCACCAGCTGCCTCCTGATCCCACAGGACTCTACTTCCCTTGTGGGAGCCCATTCTTGGTACAGGAACCCCTTCTCCCACAGGAACCTCTCCTGGCAGCCTCTCCTCATGGTCCGTACCACACTGAGGTCGGCCAGGTCCCTGAGCTTCTGCAAGGAGGGATCTTTCCTCAACTCAGCCTGGAACTCAGCGGCTGGGGAAGGGATGGGGACCAGTTCCCTCTCATTGGCTGGGTCTGAGGCCACAGCCTCTCTGAGCTGTGCCCCTCGGCGCTCCCTCCCCACCAGGGTAGCGTCCTGCACCTCCGGTGTGGTACCCTTCCCGAGGTCGAGGTGCAATGCCCCTCACCGGTTCTGGCTACAGGTCACAATCAGGGCGGTCTGGGCCTTGCTTGGCCAGTCCTCTAGGTCTCCCCCCATCAAAACCTCAGTGGGCAAATGGTGGTGTACCCCCACATCCTTGGGGCCCTCCTTGGTCCCCCATTTCAGGTGTCCCTTGCCACAGGCACCTTGAATGGGGTCCCACCCACCCCTGTCAGGGTCAGGTAGGTGTTGGGCACCACCCGATCTGGGGCCACCACCTCGGGCCAGGCCAGCGTCACCTCCGCGCCCGTATCCCAGTGTCCATTGACCTTCCTCCCATCCACCTCCAGGGGAACAAGGCACTCTCTCCGGAGGGACAACCCCGCGCCTACCCTGTAAACCGAGCACCCTGAGTTCAGAGCATCCAGCCCTCTGGCAGAGCTGGCCTGGGGTACTCTTCCCTCCTGAGCAGGTGGTAAACTGGCAGCCCCCCTTGCCTGGGTCGTCTGCCCTTTGTCCAGCTGGGTCCCTACCCAGTTAACCCTGAGTAGGTTGGGTCTGCTCAGTCTGTCCCTGAGCCTGGGGCACTGGGTCCGTACGTGGCCTCTCTGGCCACAGTGATAGCAGCTCAGGTCACGTTGGTCCCCTCGAGCGGGTCAGAGGGGCCCCACGCCAGGCGTTCCCCTTGGGAGGGGGTTCTCCCTATTTCTCCCTGGGAGGTCCCATGGTGACTCTCTCTCTGCATCGGGGGGGCCCTGTTCTTTAGGGACTCCTCCCAGCTACCCCCTGACCGACTGTTCACAAACTCATCGGCCAGCTGCCCTGCGTGCTGGGGGTTCCCTAGCTTTTTGTCCACTAACCACAGCCTCAGGTCGGAAGGGCACTGTTCATACAGTTGCTCCAGTAAGATTAGGTCAAGCAGGTCCTCTTTAGCTTGGGCCCCAGCTGTCCACTTGCGGGCATATCCCTGCATCCGGTTGACCATTGTAGGTATGTGACCTCAGGCATTTTACGCGGACTCCGGAACCTTCTCCAGTACATCTCGGGGGTCAGCCCAAACTCACGGAGCAGGGCCTGTTTGAACAGTTCATAGTCCCCTGCCTCCGCCCCTGTCATTTGGCTGTACACTTCCACGGCTTTGGGGTCCAGTAAGGGGGTGAGAAACTGGAGCCTGTCTGCAGTGTCAACTCTGTGCATCTCGCAGGCATTCTCAAAGGCCGTCAGGAAGCTATCTATGTCCTCCCCCTCCTTCCGCTGGGCCAGGAAGCACTTATCAAAGCTCCTTGCAGTCTTGGGTCCCCCCACACTCACCGCAGCCGGGGCCCTCAGCTCCTCAGCCTGGCCAGCTCCAGTTCATGCTGTCTTTGTTTCTCCTTCTCCTCCTGCTCATGCCTACGTTCCCGCTCCTTCTCCTGACATTCCCGCTCCTTCTCCTCCTGCTCATGTTGACGCTGTTTTTCATGAACCTCCAGCTCCCTCATTTTCATCTCCCTGTCCCATCCCAGCTGCTTCCACTCCAGGGATGGGGAGCTCCGCCGGGAGGATCCCCTGCTGGCTGCTGGGGTCAGGGTGCCCTCGCTATTCGCTGGGCTTCCCCCAACCCCTCCCCCAGGCCTAGGTAGGAAGGGTCTCGGGATGTCCTCAGCAGCAGTCTGACCCCTCCCAGCCCGGTCAGGCCTCAGGGCCTACGCTGCATCCGCCCGGGCGACTTCCCTCAGGGACAGAGATCGGGTCATCCAAGCGATCCCTCTCCTCCAACTGGGCAATCAGCTGTTCCTTGGTGGACCTCCCAATGCGCAGCCCCCTCTGCCTGCACAGCTCCACCAGGTCACTCTTCAGGCGTTTAGCGTACATCTCCCTGCTGGCCATTCGCAGGCCAGGCAGCTTTCAACGGTTTCCAGGAAAAACCCCTAGTGTGCCAGTCCTTCTTGAGGTCACCACCTCTTTGCCAGGGTCGAGCTGCAGACTCCTCTGCCCCTGGGATCGCTCGCTGCAATCCCCCGGGGGACCCTGTTACTGCAAAAGTCCTTCTCTCTGGTCACACACTCCCAGGGGTTAACCGCCCCCTGAAACCGTCTCTCTCTGAATCTTCAGCACGCCTGGTCCCCGTCAATCCCCCTTCGTTTTACTGCTCCCCAGTCACTTACTGCAGGAAGCACCGTCCACGGGGTGCAGTACATCCCACCGCTACCACCAGTTGTCACGGAGTGTGGGGGAGTCCAGGCCCTGCACCCCTCTTCCTGGGATTCACTGAGACTCTCAGCCAGCCAGTAAAACAGAAGGTTTATTGGACAACAGGAACACAGTCCACAACAGAGCTTGTGGGTACAACCAGGACCCCTCAGTCAAGTCCTTCTGGGGGAGCAGGGAGCTTAGACCCCAGCCCTGGGGTTCCCTGTGTTCCTCCACCCAGCCCCAAACTGAAAACTAAACCCCCCCAGCAGGCCCCCTCCTGCAGCCTCTGTTCACATTCCTAGGCAGAGGTGTTACCTCCCCCTCCCCCTCCTGGCTCAGGTGACAGGCTCTCAGGTCTCCCATCCCCAGGGCACATTCCCAGGTCAACACTCCCCCCTCCCTGCTGCGTCACATCATCACACAGACACATCTCCAGCCTGGTCTGTAGTCACCTGGCTGCTATCCTGGTCTGGCAGGCTGCCTCCTGCTCCACAGGGCTTGGCCTTGACTGGCAAATCCAGACAAATAGTGCCTGAGTCCAGCGTCAGCTAGGAGGTCCGATTGCTTAGCAGTGCCTAGCACACTGGGGCCCAACAGTCATAGTCACAACGTCAGTTCAGTCTGGTTCATGGAGGTGTGATGGGCGGGGTGCGCCAGACAAGTGCTGCCCAGGTGTAAGGAGAGGCTGCCAACAGACATCTGTCAGGGGCTCAGTGCCCCGGGATGGGGCGTCTGTGCCCACTCGTCGGGGCTGCCCATCCCTTGCTCCGGAGCACAGTGCCATCCCCCGCCCAGTGCTTCCTCGCCACTTTTCGCGGAGCTCTTTCCTGAGAGTGGGGGGACTCTGCCCCATATGGGGGATGCTGGCATGTCTCTCCTCTGACCCTCAGGGCACAGCGCTGGGCCCAGCGAAGAGGGCAGCAAGTTTCCTGTGCCACTTTCACAGTCATTTGCTGCCATCTAGCTGCCAGTTGGAGTCTCTGCCTGGCACCACAGACCCCTCACAGACTCCTCACTCACAGCCCAGGGCACTGAGGCATCGGGCTCCCATGTTCTATTCCTGTCACTGACTCACTGTCTGACCCCGAGTGAGTCACTGCCTCCGTGCCTCAGTTTCCCCCTTTGTACAATAAAGCTAAACTATTAATTCAGGGATGTGTGTATGATGCTTTGAGGTCTTTGGTGGGAAGGCAAGGGCCACAAGGTTACCAGACGCAGGACTTTGCTCTTTTGTTTCGGTTGGAGTCCCTCTGCGGAGTCAGCCCAGCAATGCCTCTTGGACGTCAGTGGGCGTCTGTGGCAGGAAATGCTGGGGCTGGCTGTAGCCAAACCACTTACCTGCTGGGACCTGCACCCCCACTCTGCTCAGTCCCCAGGATGCTGGGCCTGGCCTACGTTGCAAAGCCTGTTCGCTCTCAGCAACGTCTGGGCAATGGAATTGGCATCTCACCCAGCCTGGGAGCAAAGCAAGCTCAGAAAGCTCCTACCGTCCATGAGGAGACCTGGCCATTCCCAGCACCCTGACTGGAACCCCAGAGCCTCTGTGGGGTCCCTGCAGCCGCCCTGCACTGGCAGGCCCCAGGGCTTCCCACAGGTAATGCCGGCGCCATCCTGGCCGCTGGATGAGCACGAGCTGCTCCACCCAGCCCTTTCCGCCTCGGGAGTGAGGCTGGCTCCGGGGCTCGGGGCGCTGGTGCTTGCCTGAAGCAGCAGCGCGTGGAAATGGCTGGCAGCTGCTGGGTGGGCTCTGGTGCAGGGTCCTTAGCGCTGATGCTAACTGGCCCCTGGCTGTTCTCCCCTGCCACGAGCCACCTGCCCACTGGCTCCACGCATGAGCCGCCAGCAGCAGTTGCTGGCGTGAGCCTGGAGCATGGGGATCTTTGGGAGGGAGCTTGGCTTCCCCCAGTGATGAATCCTATCCCCACAGCCCAACCGTCCCCTCTGGGGGGCTGAGCTCAGAGCCAGCCCCCCAGCTGCCTGGGCCCCCTTCCCACTCAGGGCCCTGCTGGGCTGGCCCCAGGCGCTGGTGCGGGGCTGAGGGACGCCAGGCCTTCCCGGAGCACTGGCTCACGCTGGGCCTGAGTGAAGGCTGTTCCCTTGTTCCCCAGTGGAGCTGGCAAGGGCAGGTGCTTTACTCCTGAGCGTCCGCTGACTCCTGCAGCTTTCCCGGCCGGTGGGAAATGCCGGAGGCTCCAGGAGGTGACTTGGGATGAGCACAGTGTCCCCCACACCCTGAGCCGGGGGCTGCCCCGGCTGGGCCATAACGACTCCAGCCTTGGGCCAGGGCTGGGAAGGTCATAGCCAGCTGTGAGCTGGGCTAGAGACCACGGGCCTGGTGACTGACCCGAAATGAGAACCACACACCCGCGTTTCAGCCAGTCTGAGCCTGGGCGTCACAGGAAACCCCAGGGCAGCAAACGTCAAAGCACAGAACCCCCAAGGTTGGCACTGGCCCCTGCCAGCTGCTCCCCCTGCCTCACGTCTCTCCAGGGCCGGTCTCAATCCCTTAGGCTCCTGCGGTGAACCGTCCCTGCGTCCTGCGGCAGCCTGGGAGCACGGCCCCCAAACCTGGCCAGCAGGGTGCCCCTGGAAGTCTCCCTGCCATCTAGTGACGCACTGGCCGGAGGGAGGGGGTTGGGGGACAGGCTGCGTTTGCATAGACACCCCCACTCTGCCGAGGCGCACGGTGCAGCTGCTTCAGCAAAGAGACCACTTTGGGCTGGCGTGGGTCACAAATCACCGAGCGCTGAGTGCAGGGCGGGCGGAGCGTTGTTATCCTGACTGTAGGCGGGAAGGGCAGCAGCGCTGTGCCCAGCCTGCCTGAGTGACGGGGGGTCACCCTCAGCCAGGGGGCCAGCATGGCCCCATCACTTTCCAAAATGACTCTGCTCTTTTTACTAGCTGTAAGGGTGGGGGGGGGGTCTGGGGGAGAAGAGGGCGCGGGAGGACAGAGCCTCGGAGGGAGTGGGTGGTGTGGGGGCTCAGGGAGAAGGTGGCAGGGCAGGCCTCAGCGGGAGGGGTGGGATGGGGCCTTCGGGGCAAGGGAAGGGGCAGCTCAGGGAGCAGGGGACCTTGGGGGGAGGGGTGATGGGGGGAGGGCCTTGGGGGGAAGGGCAGCACAGGGACTCAGGGAGAAGGGGTAGGGGGGGACCTTGGGGGGAGGGGTGATGGGGGGAGGGCCTTGGGGGGAAGGGGCAGCACAGGGACTCAGGG